AGTAATTTATTTTAGGATATGATTATGATTATTATTATTTTTTATTTTAAATATATTAAATAATATTTTTTATTTTTAAAAAATTATTTTTAAAATTAATATATCAAAATGATCCAAAATATTAAAAAATTAATTTATAACAAAAAATAAAATTAAATATTTTAAAACATGGATTGCTCTACATTTCAGATTTGTTTTTGAATTGTTTTAATATATTAATATTAAAAAATAAAAAATATTATTTTATTATAGTTTTTAAATTAAAAATACTTTAAAAAATAACCAAATTAAAAACTAAATAATCACGGCCCTAGACCGGAGAAAGCATGCTCAACTGTCACGAGGGACCCTAATGGTTTTTTTAGGATTGAGATTAAGAGGCCAGAGTTTATATTATATATATGATCCGGTCCTTAAAAACTCAAACCGCTTTCAAAGAACAGGATTAGAGTAGAAAATGTCCAAGTTGGCGTTCATGGTCCAACGGGTTTTGCAAGCTAATGGATGCAATCGCTTGTTCCAATGAGGAGAGCAGGCCATGTGGCGTGGAGAATATTTTACGAAGAGATGTTGTGTTTTTTATAATGGATTAACACACGTGCCTATTTTCATTTCTTTTTTTTTTTTTACATGTTTGACTATCTTATACGTACCACGACTAATTTTACAGTCCATTGAATACCCTATAAACCTAATAAATATATAAAACACTTCAAAGATAACAAATATACAAATAAAAACTCGAACTTATAAACAGTGGAAGGAGATAAGCTTTTTCTATCGTTAGATCAAAATCCTTAATATTTTATTTTGATATCTTGATGTTATTACTGATCAATAAATTTACCAAAGAACATATTCGAGATTTTAGTAGAGTTGGCAAGTATTTATTTATCATTTATGTTATCAAGATCAAAGATCTTAATAGACTATAAACATAAATTGATTAGAAAAAATATTTAATTAGAAAAAATATTTAATCTGGGTTTACGAAAACTCACCTGATGATATCATCGTCAGGAAGAACAGTTAATAGTGCACCTAGCAGGGATCTCATGGTCTAACTATCTAACAAGAGATATGGAATCAAGAGGAAAGGAAAAAATCAGTAGAATATAAGGATGGTAGTATTTGGAATGATGTGTAAATAGTGTTTTAAATTTTTAAAATATTTTATTTAAAATGTATATTTTTTATTTTTTAATTTTTTTTGATGTGCTAATATTAAAAATATTTTTTTAAAATAATTTTTTTTATTTTATTGTATTTTTAAATGAAAAATATTTTTAATTGTTGCTGTTATCACAATTCTAAACAAGTAAAATGGATATCAAGTGATGATGGAAGCTCCGGTTTGGTATTGTGTTGCAAATATGTTTGAGTGAATTTTGAATTTCTATTGTTTTAAATTAATTTTTTTATAATTTTTGAATTGTTTTGATAGACAGCTATTAAAATAATTTTTAAAAATAAAAAATATATTATTTTAATGTATTTAAAAATATATATCTTGAAAAGTAAATAATAAAAGACAAAAATGATCTCCACTTTTGAAGATTGACACTTTATTGCTGATTTAGATGTATTGGCATGATCTCGACAATTTGCAACCTTGCAAATATATGTGCTTATGATCAAAATCCCTTTCCCGGGATCGAGTAATTAGTGTTGCATTGTGGGAAGTCACCTTTGATTAGTAAAAGCAACAGTATGCATGCATTTCAATCCACTCTGTTCAGATCTGGCATAGCAGAAACATGGTTGGTGCTTGCTACTTGCCCCTACCACCCTGTTTACCTGAGACAAAAAAGCGTTGATGCCCTTTCGAACACGCGTGGAGCCATGAAGAGCTTCCGGTAGCCTTTCCTGTGCTGACCTCCGGCCATTCTCCTCGTATAACATTTCTGGCACAGCAGAAACCTGGTTGGTGCTTGCTACGTGCCCCGACCACCCTGTTTACCTGAGACAGAAAAGCGCTGATGCCCTTTCGAATACGCGTGGAGCCATGAAGAGCTTCCGGTAGCCTTTTCTGTGCTGACCTCCGGCCATTCTCCTTGTATACCATCATCAAAAAGCTAAATTGTAGGACGTGTTCTGCTGATATAACCTTCACCGGATCTTGTTGTCAATTTGTGTGACCAATCAACCTGCTACTCCATTACAACGTCTTTCCTGCAAGGCAAGACACGCGTATACAATACAGATGCAACATAACAGAAAAATCAAAAGCAAAACAGACAACGGAGTAAAATATGAAAAAGTCTGAAACAAGAACCAACGCATGCTTTGGTAATCTTTCTCTGTTACTGTCTGCTTATGCAATCATGGGGTGAATTTAACATAGTCATTCAAGAAATGACTGTTTTCATCGGGGGACAAGATTCAAGAAGCAAGCAACAGCCAGTTAAACAACAAGAAAGTTGGTGTGAATGACAAAAGCGATAGGTTTCTTTCCTTCAATCGTTGAACCACCCACATAACACTAACAAGCATACTATGTTCCTATGTTCAGTTAGGACAAGCATGGTATAATATTCTATAATTCATGGGGTGAATTTAACATGGTCATTCATGAAATGACCCTTTTCATCGAGGGACAAGATTCAAGAAGCAAGCAACAACCAGTTAAACAACAAGAAAGTTGGTGTGAACGACAAAAGCGATAGGTTTCTTTCCTTTAATCATTGAACCACCCACATAACACTAACAAGAATACTATGTTCCTATGTTCATTTAGGACAAGCATGGTATAATATTCTATAAGACAGTGGGGGTTCTTGATTCAAATAATGTATTTCTTTTCTCAGACCCCTTTCCGAAATCAATTGCAGGTGACGTCATTTTGGAAATTAAAAGTTTTGCCAAAAAAATCATTCTTCTAAAGAACTATTTTACACGGAGTCCACTTTCTGTCACGAAAGAAGAGTTTGAAACCACAATCATACACCTCATATAAAACTCAGCTTGAATTTCCTTTGACCACCGCGACACTATCTTTCTTACTCTATAGTATCATGTTAATAGGAAGCTCTAACACCAAACTATTTCCTATTCTTTTCATATAATGACAAGGCATTACCATTGAAGGGGACCGCACATAATGTTGTTATAACAATTAAAAAATTGGTGGTGAACAGGTCTGTACTCTGCAGAATGGAAAGAGACCTGGAGTTACAATAGCATCAATTTCCAGCCAAACAGACCCAGCGAAACCCTCTCTAGCTAGTGTTCTCCACGAGGTCCTCAAGCATAGAGATACTCCCACTGCTTTAATTTTCTGGGAATGGGCAGGACATAACACATCATATATACGATCTTAAATTTGCAACGCAGAATACTCACAGAAGAATTATGCGCTAGGATTATGCAGTCTGAGTCCGGTTCTCTGTAAATGCAATACTAAATGAAAAAAGATGGTCTTACATGTGCACGGCCGTGATCAATTTGAAAGCAAGGCTACTCAATGAAAAAGTTGGTCTTACAGGTGCACGGCCGTGATCAATTTGAAAGCAAGTTATCGACGTCAATAATAAAGTGAGCAGTGTACTCTTGACTCTAATGGCATTACAGGTTCATAATATTGCTTAACATGCCCCATTACAGGCACATAAATTGACAGCTTGGAATCTTGGCGGCAGCGATCGGCGCCCATGCGAGTAACCAATACCACCGATAATTCAATGACCCCTGTGATTACATGACAAAGTAACCACTACTCTCCCTCTCTATGTATATTCATGTGTGTGCTATGCAATAATGAAAAGGAATAGCTCTAACATTAAATATCTCCTTAGGAACACTAAACACGCGGTTACAGTCTCAAACAGGTAACAGAACAATTCCTGCTACACAGTTGGACTTCCTATTTCTCCCCAGTTGAACTCCAGCACTATCAGTGTAAAGAAGAAGGGCGTTAATTAGAGTATGAATTGTAATTTCCAATTAACCAGCAACTGGAATCAAATAGTGTCAGATACAATACTTGTATTGAACGATGATTAAAATCCAAAACAGAAAAGAATTATAAAGTGAATCACAATTCACAGAAAAAACAAAAACAAAAAAGGAACGCTGATAAAACCAGGTGTGTATAAGGAACATAAAACGATTTGAGTTATGCAGGAAGGGGCTTGAGTGAGTCAAATCGTATAATCACTGCATCTTATATAGTATGGATCTAACAAAATACCAAAGGGATACCTTTCCTTGACGGATGATTTGAGTATTTTCTTTTCCTTCGTTCAGAAACTCTTATTCTCAGTGGCATTTATCCTCTTCTCTCTCTATTTATTTTTTCTGAATGGATTGCTAATTTATCAAAGAGAAAAAACAAATGATGGAAGTTTAAAAATATTTTCCAAGAATTTTTGTAGTCTTAAAAGTGACTCGCAGATTGGAGCCAGGTGCCATCGATATGTGCCAGTATCTGTCTTTTTTCACCACCTAACTCATGCAGTCAAACGAGTTCCACATCCCTTTAGGAAATCTAACGCAAGCCGTCAGCAAACAAATTAAGCAGACCAATAACTCATGCAGTCAAACTAGGTGCCCTAACCTACTTCTATTTCCACATCCCTTTAGGAAATCTAACGCCAGCCGTCAGCAAACAAATTAAGCAGACCAAGTATTGCACAAGCAACTCATCGGGAAAAAAAATGCTGGGTCACGGAATCCCGGTCTAAAAATGTAGAAAGTTTCAATCAAATGAAGCACATAGATGTCATTTCATTTCAAAGAACCTAATCACAACTTTGTAGACCGTTGCTATCAGAAAATAATTGCTTTTGGAAATAATTTCTTCGAAGTCTGATCAAAGTATGGACAAGATGTTGAAGCCATATCAAAAGCAATGGTGTTCAGAATAAAAACACTTGTACGAGGCAAACTTGCATGTAAAAAACAGAGAGAGAGAGACAGGGATATCTATTGCATTTCAACATACTACACTAACAATACATGTAATAGTTTTCAAAACCCACCTCGTCAATTAATTACATAATAAAAATGCTATATATATACACGTGCTTTTCCAACTGAATTGGCTTCTCTTTCTATCAATGATGGAGCAGGTGGAGTCAAAGTTTCATCCTTAACTCCTCTAGAAGACTCTTCTTTCACCATAAGAAGCTGCCTTCTAGGCGTGTTATACCCCTTTGAAACTGTGCTCGGACTTGGAGAATTAGATATCGTAAACTTGGATGGGCTAGAGTTGTTTCCAAGTGGAGAACTGGGGTTTGAACCATCCCTGCAGGGGAAAGGTGAATGGGGCATCTTGTTACTGCCGTCCGTTTGCTTCTGACAGAACTTATCTTCCACAATATCATAAGAATTCCCAGTTCGAACATCCTGAGCAAGAGAGCACCAGCAACAACATAACCACAAAGTGCAATCAGAAACAGCTGGCTCACCAAAGCAAAATGAGTAAGCTAGCAAATTGAATCTCTTTCTCATTTGAATCCTCCAAAAGCCACCGTATAGTAATCCAAATGCACAAAGAATAATTCCAGTAATGCCCAGTGCTTCTCTGACAGTCTCATTATCAATATTAACAGCAGCCATGTTGAAAATCCAGAAAGGGGCCAAGCAAAAGTGGAGAAAAGTTAAAATGTGAACATACATGTTCCCAAGTCCGAGTCTCTCCATATGCCGGATGATTATGAATTCTTTCTACAAAAAAAGAGCAGAAAGGCGATAGATATGCTATAGAAATATCATCCCAAAAATCAAGTATCCCTCCACTCCACTGTGGTCTAGTCTCAAGAATTCTTTGTTCTTCTCTGGCCTTTCACCAGCGGAAATCTGTTCTTCTCTAATGAATTTGGCCTCAACTTCTCTGGCCTTTCACCAGCGGAAATCTGCATCTGTGCTTCCTCGTCTATTTCAGACTCGTAATCCTTCCCAAGGGGACTAAGAATGGAGTATACACCAGCAACTGCAGGTGCAGCTATTGCAACAGAAATGCACATCCCAACTCCTATGGCTGGTCTCTCTGATCTCCTACATCCTAAATTAAGACCACAAAGTGCATATCGAGCAAAACAGTTAAGATTGAGTAAAGCCACCACCACCATCATATGCGCCCACTCATGCGGCTTATAAGTCCCATTCTTGCAGTAAATCCCATATGCGGCCACTTATGCGGCTTATAAGTCCCATTCTTGCTGTAAATCTTTCTGAGTCTAGCAATGTCTTTTGGATTCCATCTACAGAGAAGTACAAGGTCATAAAACCGCTTTGGGTGTTGGTACAGACACATGAGAGCAGAGACCGCATTGAGAATTTGATTATTGACTTCAAACCATACATCTCTCTGGGACTTCTTAGGTAGTGCATGGTCCAAGTTGACTAGGAACAAAATTGCACCTGAGATAGCAAGACACATGATCCACACAAAAAGGGGCATGTTCATTGGGTTCTGGATCCATTCTTTGCCCATTTTCTTGAGCAAAGTCCAATCAATCCTCCGTGCAAAAACCCCATTAATGCATTCTCGAAGACCATGGCTGCTTGAAGATGTCACTGAACGTGAAAAGTCGTCTCTCTCCTGTGCTAACTGCCTAACTTTGGCAGATGCACAACCAAATTTAAGAAAGTTTATCCTCTTGGGAAGGGAAAGTAAGCTGTCTTGGGACTTCCTCTGTGGGTTTTCATTGATTAATAGTGTCCTTCTAGATGCTGAAATCTGAAGAGGTATTTGACCCTGGGCTTTAGTACCATTACATTTCTCAATTTCTTCTTTGGGGTTCCTGTAATTAACTGAAGTCATTATCACTCTCAAAATTTGAGCTGTTATCAGTAATAATTAATATAATATTTGGATGATTAAAATTCTTTCGAGTCGTATTTAGATCTGTCGAACGATCAGGTTACATTATATTATTAAAATATTTATATATTAAATATATTTAATTATAATTAGATATTCTAAATAACTTATTTACCATTAAAATATAACAAAAAAGCTATATCTCTCCTTAGAGATGCTATTAACTGTCTCTTTGTTTTAGCATATCTAAATGTCTCCGTCTTCTTGTAAATTGTCATTTCAAGAATTGCTTTCGTTGAACTCCTTATTTCATGATATAGATGAAATAATAAATATTATTTTAGATATTCTACTAGTTGCCGTTCAATTGTTACCTCTCTCAACTTTTTTATATATTATCTATATCTCTAAGTATGATTTGTTGAAACATATGATGACAATTTATTATTCATTTATTATAAAAATATCTAATATAAACTACAAAATTCACCCAAAATGGAGCCTGAACCAGTTGGACTTGAATCTGCGATCTCAATTAGGCTTATTTTATATGATAGACGTGCTTGAGACCAGCCTAGAATTCTGTAAATCTAGAATTTGTTCTTGCCATTCAAAAACCTAGATAGCTCGACGCCTACTTTGATTTTAGAACTTCAATTTTAAAAGTGTCCAGCAGATCTATTCAAACGATTGAAAACTCAAAACAAAGGACAGAGTTCGGTTGTTCAAGTCTTCAACCACCGAATCTCCAGCGAGCTCCACCTGATCTAACCGTGCTGTTCATTGCTCCATTAGCGACCAATCAAGTACAGCAGTTAAACACGGTGCAGTTCAAGGGTTCATTTAGCTCTCGATGATATGCAGACGTAACCAGAAAATGAAAGTAAAATCCCGCCAGAATATAATATAATGATAGGCGAATCAATCCAAAACAAACAGCTATATTTAGACCTCCTCTGTTTATTTCTCAATCTTACGTGAATGTTGGGAGAAGGGATTTACAAACTCAACAATCTTAATTGCCTCTCACATCCACGTATGGGACGAGCGAGACAACTAAACTACATTGACTGAAGAAGCTAAACAGCTTCTTTTCTTGTCATAAACCCGCCAAATGGGCGAGACCATAAGGGTTTGACTGAAGAAATTTGATTTTATCCTCCGCAAATCCCTTTCTCCTTCGAAGTTCGTGGGGGGAACCACGTGACGCAAAAGATCACAAACACACACAAGTAAAACCCAAACCAAATATACTTAATAATAGAACACATTGTGAACGAGTGCAACTGGACAAGCATCACAGTACAGGGCAATTATCAATGAGAAACCGAAACAACATATGTTTGAAACCTAATGTTTAGGTGAGGTCATCCTCCTCTAGTTCTTTAGCTTTCAGCTTCTCTTTCACCCTCAATAGAAGGGTTGTCTTCCAGGAATCCTGGACAGCAACAAGGCAAAGAATGCCATCATTAGCAGATTGAGAAACTAGATGTCAAGGTATCAGATATACAAAAGATACATATAGTAAGAGGTTAATAGGTGGCTGTGTAGTTCAGTGGTTCACTTCTTCACTTGGTGACAGGTATGCATGACCGAGACAGTGAAACAGTAATGATGGGAGCAGATATAGAACCCTTGATGAGTACAACAGATAGAATACTTCATGTACGAAGTTACATGCATTCATAGATTTTCTAGTGAAAGTTCTAAATACAGAAGAAATTTACCTATCGCTAGAATTGCTTTTTTCAAAAAAATTTCAACGTGAAGCACTTAAGGATTATAAGGAGAGATGTACCAGTGGCGTCATGCTATCAAATTCCTTGACAACATCAGTGAATTTCGCAACATCTTCCTCATCAATGGCAGCAGCAATATCCTGTCACCAGAAAATGTGATTGCTCATAGACATTCTATCATTACACCCCAGAAGAGGGGAAAATAGAGACAGAAAAGGAGGCAGCATCGGTGTGTTTGTGTGGTGGGGGGGAGGGGGGTTGATTCAGATTTCATATATGAATTTCATATGTGGATACACACAAATGAATAATTGTATATGAGAGTTTTTGTCTATAGCCTGCACATATCAATAAGCTGTCATCATCATGCATAAAGAAGGTAAATTGGATGTTAACACTTAACAGTCTCATAACAAGAAAAAGAAAAAGCAATATATATATATATATATGCGCATTCAAAACCAACAGAAAAAATGGAAGCAACCGACCATTTCCAAGGAAAATGCTATAAAAGAAACATATTAAGACCAACAAAAGTTTTCCAGGTTATACATAACATACCGCAAGCAGTTTATATTCACGAGTTCCTGAGAAAGTTGGATCCATCTCCTGCAACAGAAATTTAAGTTTCATTGATTCAATCCAAGCTGTATGGTAAATCATCCAGGTGCAAATGTGGAGCCAAACTCAAGACCTGATATCGCTCTAATGCATTGGTAATTGCAACAACATCGCCTTTGCAGAGATGGCAAATGCCAGCATTAAGAAGATGACCTTTGACTCCATACTTCAGTAAATTATTTTTAAGTGATTGTCGAGCTATCTCTTCGTAAATGTCAATTGAAGTCTGGTATCTGGACAAATCACCAGAAAGTTAGTCCAATCTCTAAAAGTGCTAATATACAGTCTAGATAATTGAAATAATTTGGCCTTTTCTCTTTTGTTATCATGTCCATTTTCCTTGTTCACCAATGTATACTAGGGGCAAGAATGTGATCGACTATGGGTTGTAATAGAATGTCAACATTTCCAAATGCACGTACAAAAAGCCAAATACAGTTGTTTTATGAGAATATAGAAAACACTTAATGGAGATGATTGTACATATCTTAGTTGATTAAGCTTGTCCAGCACTCCATGATTTAGCAGGGCGCCCAAATTGACATCACTTTACTCTAAATTATTAATGTTTAATACTAGTTGTCATACCAAGCAACCAATGCAGCAACATTCAATAGGGACAGAAAAAGATAAATATGAAACATCTTAGAGTGCATGTAACAGCATGCAAACACAAAATAGCAAATATACACCAAAAATGAAAACAACACCCTTACTGTTCTAGCTGAGCAGCAAATTCTGCCACTTTCTGCTTGCATTGGTTGGCAGAAGTTGTTACATCTTCATTTTGGAAGAAATCAGCAGCCTTATCATAATATTCCATAGATTTTTCAATATTTGCATCTGACTCGTACAACTCAGCAATTTCCTGCACAGTTAAAGGCAGTTCCAGGTTCTTGAATATCTATAAGAAATTAGAACAAAACAGATCCCTAAAATTTTTTACAAATGTATCCCTAGTATACCATGAGAGTTGCATGCTATTGAAGCTTAATAGTGTTGCAGATGATAAACACAGTAAAACCAAAAACAATAAATCAGGATATTTTATACATGTAGTTTGTCAATCAGAAATTCTTCTCAAAAAGAAAAAACAATTGCCCAAATACAAAAACTGATACAAAGAGAAAAGTAAAAACAACAAATAGTACAAAAAAAAAACGCTGGTAAAAAGAGTATACCTTGAAATATCTTGCAGCCATACTGATCCTTCCAATATCGCAAAGCATATCTACAGCCTGAACTAAGCAAGATATTGCCTCTGCACAAGAAGAAGCTCCACAGATGAGATGATGTGTGCAAGGAACACAAGATGGGGGGAGGCGGATACAACCCCATTACATATCACATATTGGTAACTTATATTTATAGTAGCGTACACATGTAAAAAAGGCACACTAACAAGGAACCAACAATCACATGAGTTATATTTGCAATAAATTCACGAATTGAATTAAATAATTGTGTGGGAAAGCAAGCACTAGTGCATACCAGTAGTGGACGTTTTCTTGTAACAATGAGCAGCATCAACATACGCCGAGGCAGCTTCATGTTTGCTATCCAACTAAAAAAAAAAAGAAAAGAAAAGAAAGAAAGAACATATGATAAAAAAAGAAGTGAGATTTGATAAAATTCAGTGCCCAATTCAATCATACACAGACACCTTCAAATGACACTGTCCGAGCTTGACATACGTCGATCCAGCTTTTTCCCCTGAAACATAATAACCGGAAAAAATGAACAACCGATTGTACAAGCCTACCACAAACAAAACTGATTGAGGATATAACACAACTTTACATGTTTGTTAAGCGATCATTTAATTGATAAACTATGACTATAATCCAATCAAAACAATAAAAAATGCAAGTCCCTATCCATGTTTAACCAAACCTTACGAATTGAGATACAAAAAATCCAAATAAAATTAATCCAATATAACTGCTCAAACCAAGGAAAAAAAATCGATTCAATCGCGAAAGCAACAAATGATCAGGAATAAAGAAGCAAATAAATGAAATCATAAGCTGAGAGGATGCAACAAGATCCTAAATAAATAAAGAAAGGAAAACGAATTATTTATTTGGAAAGAGAAAAAGAAGAAGAAAAGGGGGAAATGAAGCGATACAGGATTTAGCGAGCTTGAAATTATTGGCAGCTTTGTCGAAGAGATCGGCGGCGTCTTCATATTTGGAACCGAAAATACCCCAACCATTCAATTTCTTCTCTGCTTTCTTCTCGAAATCGTCTCCTTTTGCTGCCAAATCCATTTCTCGACTTCCTCAGCGATCTCTCTCTTTTGGGTTTTTTTTTTAATATATATAAAAAAATTGTATTTATAATTATTATCAATCGAGATAAAAATGTCAATCGAAATGCAGACTCGGCAATAAACGGGAAGAAAAAATCGTTGAAGTGAAAAAAAAGACAATGACGATGGGTATTTGTTAAGGGAATTTTCCGAGAAGAGAGAAATAAAAATATATTCAGTCATTATTATTTCTAAACGTTCTTTTGACCTTTGTAGTTTTTATTTTTCAATATTAACCTAAAGCCTGCGAAAATCATCGGCTAGAGCCTTCTTTTTCGTTTTTTTTTTTTTTTTATTTTTTGGGTAGCCTTCTTTTTCGTTTTTTTTTTTTTAAATTTTGTGGTATTAAAAATTTTAGATGAAGATATTTTTATTATTTTTAATGAAATATAAGTTTTTTTTATATATAGTTATACAGATATCATCGTGCTGAAAATATTTCTAACATTAAAAATTACACAGTTTTTATAGCTATAGCTTTACACGTGAATGTAATTACAATAGTGGTTAATAAAAAAAAAAAATTGGTTAAAAGAAGGATTTAAGAGGAGATTTCTAATAACATGGGAAAATGAATCTAAAAAACATTAAAAGTAATGATGTTAAGACTTAAGATTTTAGCTTTTAAACGTGGAACTCGCGTATAACCAAGAATTTATGTAAAGTAAAATTTTTATATAATAAAAAAAGTAAGAATAAAAATAATAAATTTAATTTTTTTTAGTAATTTACACTCAGCATTTGCTTCTAGTGGGAGACATCACTAAATTTAGCAAAAACATGAATTTGATAATTTTATTTTTATGTTTTATGTTGTGGAAGGTTCTATCCCACAACAAAAATAAAAGCAAAACCTATTTATTAATTTTTCCCTCAGAAAGGAATCTGGTCCAAATATTTAATTACATAACCCATATAAAAAGTTTTACATTGAAATAAAATAATTTTTCTCATTTTTCTTCTGTCATCTTTCAAAAAAACATAATAGCCAAAGCATGAATTTACTGCTTTTGCTTTTGTGTTTTTTTACTGTGGAAGGTTATACCCCACAACAAACGACAAACACCAGGTGTAATACCTGCTTTTCTGTAGATTACGATCATTGCTTGGCTGGTTGATATTTCTGTGGATTTCTTGTTGAGATATACACATTCCGGGAATACAACAACGTATGCTGGTGTCATGTGGGAGGCTTTTGGGAGAGTAGGATCCGTGTCTGTGCAAGGATGTGTCATGATCACTAATCCTGGATGCTTGATTATTTATTTGATTATTATCGGTAAGTGTATATATTTATGCATGGAACTTGGTTGTAATCTATGTCTTGTTTTAGTTACGGAAGTGATTAATACTGGGATTTGTTTGTCAGCTCCGTTAATTAGGCCTTCTGCCCTTGAATTTCATTAATGAACAGCCCTTTGACCAGCTCATGAAATATAACAGTGCTATTTATGATAGCAAGTGAATTGCAGAGCTCATAATACAATTACCATTGTTTGCCAGAGGATGTACCGTCTGGAAATGTCCATGATGGATCAATGCACTTGGGTGAGTTGCAAGAATGGTTTGGAATTCTTGTGCTTTTGCGCTCCTCTTCGTTGTTATTTATAATGAACAGCCCCTTTGACTAGCTCATGAAATCTAACAGTGCTACTTATGATAGCCAGTGAATTGTAGAGCTAATAATACAATTACCATTTTTGCCAGAGGATGTACCGTCTGGAAATGTCCATGATGGATCAATGCACTTGGGTGAGTTGCAAGAATGGTTTGGAATTCTTGTGCTTTTGCGCTCCTCTTCGTTGTTATTTTTGTCATGCTTCCGCCGGTCTTGTTCAGGCGTGTGGGTAAGTTTATTTTTTCATCCATTTTTTTTTTTAAGGCATAATTATGTTGAAATCTACACGGTCTAAGTTTTAATTTCATCCGGCAAAAGAACTGGTAGTTTATTAGAGCATCATGGTGAGAACAGTGTGGCAATGCTCAACTTCCCAGAAAATATGGAATTCAATGAGGGATCACACACAGATTCTTCGGTTAGGGAGAGTGACTAGAATGGTGAGAAAATGAATATTTGAAATTGGAGCTCGTTGAACCTGTTGAGAAAAATTGGACGATGGCTTGTTCGAGTTAAATAGGATGTGGCTTCTGGAGCTAAAAGATGGGGAAAATTCGTTCTTGAATATGTTTTTGGGTGGGGATACACAGTTCAAGGCAATGGACAATTTCATCGAGTTCTAGCGGAGGACATGTAGAAATGTGAAGTTGCATATAAAATTAAGAGTTTTTATTTTTGCTCTTTGAAACTTCTGAATTCAAGCAGACGACACAAGATCAAGATCAGATAATCGAACAGAAGATCAAGTTTGCGTTGAAAAATAACATATGAGATTGCGTCATTTGATTCATTACAACTCCTGGCCTCTAATGTGAGAGAGCATTGACCCAGGATTTAAAAACTGGAGTGGGTAAGATGATAATCCAAACATTCTTGAATCAGATTCATATATCATTGTGAATAAAAAAAGAGAGAGATTTCATATGACAAGAAAATTGGAAGAAAATTTTTTAGACACAGGAAGGGGGGTGAATCAGAGCTTTCCAAATTCCAACAGATTGGAACAAATGCCGAATTGCATTTGATAATGTATGAACTTGCAAAGAATCCTGAACCATACAGTGTTAATTGATAAAAGAACAAGATTAGAATAATACTTCCATTTTACCATCTGAATAGAGGGTTGACGATGACAGCTTTCCAAATTCCAACAAAGCAGCTGTCCACGCCCATGCATAACTCCAGCACCAATGAACATACCCATTTCTGGCGAGCATATCGAACAGTTCACACAAAATAATTGGGGGGGCCTGTGCCGAGTACTACTTGCCTGGCAAACCAAACTAAGCTACTCAAACACAAAATAATTGGGGGGACCTTGCCTGGCAAACCAAACTAAGCTACTCAAAGTATGAATGCAATTACAACTGCGCAGAACAACTATTTGCTAGCGACTCCATGAGTTCATGATACGTGAACCCTATGAGGCATAGCATTAAAAACATGTTTATCAAAGGGGAAAAGGTTGACGTGAGAAAAAACTTCAGTTTGTATTACATTAAAAAAGGATGCACTGTGTTTTCATTCCTTGTAAATTCTAATCTCTCCAAGATATCAAAATGACTCTTTGACCTGGCCGCACTTCAAGCCTACAAGGGAAAGGTTTAAGACATTGAACAAATTACTTAAGATGAGTTCTCATATTTCAGATCCTGGAACCTCTTCAGCAAGCTAGCCTTGAATTTCTCAATTTCTGCTTCCTCAGAGGAATCTGGGACAGACTTAACCACCGATATTGCCCCAGCAAGGTGTAAAGCTCCTAGAGCTTCATCTGCAGTTCCAAAACATAAGTGGTAAGTTCCAGTAACTCTTGGCAGCAATTGTGCTGTCATTTACTTTCATGGACGTTGCAACGTCCTTGAACACTCAAATATGTAAATTGAGCCCAAAAAAAATCACACCTAAGGAATTTTAAAATCCTCAGAACAAGGAGTCGAGATTAGAAAAATCTAATGGATTTAAGAGTGCAATATTCTTTATTGTTTTAAACATTTCTTATATTGGAAACATGAACTCCAATTTGTGTTCTTAACCTGCTTTTGTTCATCAACCACAGTCGTTTCCTTTTATTGGCAAATCAAATTTTTATGTTGCTAAAGTATCCCTGATTTATGATTTGATATTGATACCTGAGATCCATAAGAAAAGGAATATAAAGTACAATCCAATGAACGCAAATATTTTGATGTAACCTGACTGTGAGAGGGCAGCAAGAGCTTTCAAAGCTGCTTTCCTGGTGCGGTCATCTTTTGCAGCTTCCAGCATGATCAACAACTCTTGAGCCCCACCTATCTCCACTATTTTCATCCTTCTTTCATCTAGAATCAAGAAGAAGAATAAGCAGGGCATACACGTGAGAATTTGTAAATAAAATGGATCTTCAAACCACATCCCTCATGCCAAGCTAATTCAATCAAAACTAGACATCCTCTATAGTGTCGCCACTTCTAAAAATCATAAAATGCCCTTCGTTTAAACCCAGCAAAAACACTCAACAGACACCCTGTAGTTCACTACTTCACTATGGGTCGCCACTTCTAAAAATCATAAAATGACCTTCGTTTAAACCCAGCAAAAACACTCAATTACAACAGTCATGAGAAAAGAAGGGTCTAATAGAAATATTCGACACAGATTTCAGAAGATGCAATCAGTGGATTTACAGGTACAACCCGATTCATCACCAAATGCTTGCACTTTAATTACAAGAGATGAATAAAGGTCCACAATCACAAACCACATCAACTTAAAACAAGCAGCTCGTAATTTATAGACAAGAACTCTTTCAGAGTAATAAAGAGGTGGTTACCATCAATGGCGAAACGGGCTAGTCTAGAAGCTCCACTTCTTTTAAAGAAGGGATCTTTAACGTGCAAAAGCGAAACCGACTGTCGCAACATATTATCTCCTGTAAAGAGGAAGCAAGCAAACAATGTCAAATCTATGAATACTGAAAACAAAGGCCAAACCAGCACTGTGTTTGGCATACCCATGTAAGGAAAGAACTGATAACCAACAAAGGCTGCGGTCCCGACAAAGATTGATTTCAGCAACCATCCAATTTTCCTCTCAGCATCTTCTTCAATGGATAGCTCATCTGCAAATTTAGAATTACCCGTTAATACTTGTAACTAACTAACTAAACAATAAAAATAATTAACCATAACAAAAATGAGGGAGAGAAAGAAGACCTCTTTTACTGAATGGTGATGGGGATGATGAGAAGTGGCGAGATGGAACATTTCGAGGATTAAAACGACACAAATACTGCACCACAGTATTAGAAAATAACGAAACAAATAGTTTGAGTGACTGAACGGCATGAGATTTGATTTCTTAAGAAGAAGGAAAGCATTACGTTCTTAAGCGCGCGCATGATGCTGCTGCTGCTAGTGGGTGTGAGAGACCTCTCCACTTCTCTCAATCAAAACCCAGGCACGGGCAGGTCCTCTGTGTGTTTTTCCTTTTTTGTTGCCCTCTGCGACAGCGTCTCACCTGGTTAAGTGAAACAAAAAAAATAAAAAATATATGTATATATACGAAATGGCCTGGTAGAAGAGATTAATCGACTAAATCTAGCGATCACAATCCTACGGCGTCGTCTGCAGAGCTTCAGATTCTCCTTTCTAAGATAAATATTTTTTTTTCTCGAAAGATTATTTGTTCTATACCTGAAGTTATTTATTCACTTTTGAATCAAATCAAAAGTGAAAACCGCAAAGCAGCAGCAGGTCATTTTCAGGGTATCATAAATCTCGTTGCCCTTTGAGGTGAAGTTCAAAGATATTTCAATCTCTTGTAATTTCTAAAATGCTCTTTAAATCCCACTTCCTTTTCCCTAAAAAGTTACAGCTTATAGTTATTATTTTTTTCAGAAGAATAAAGAAGTGGGGGAAGGTTCCATCTTCACGAGTGAAGGATAGTGAATAGGAGAAAAAACCCTAGTTCCAATAGCGATGATGATGAGTAACCGTGGGGAATTATCATCCATCAGCTCAATCGCGCTTGGAAGGTATTGCGATGTGAAAAGAAAAAATAAATAAATAACAAACTACACTGCATTCTCTTGCTTCGATTATAAATAATCTATTTCTTCAATAATAGGCAAACGCAGAACAATTTAACTTGGTACATGACTCCGTCTGAAAGTAAGTCAAAATTTGCTTGAAAGTAGTAATAAACTCAATAACATAGGCCAAAATCTTCAGTATCAGGATGTAAAGCTATCCCTTCGTCATCAAAAGGTCGCTTTCTTCTCGTACTTTAATGCCATGAGGTACACCTAAGCCTCGGTAAAAGCTACCAAGGAATCCCTACCGATGAAACCACCACTTTCTACTTCCTGTCCAGAAATACGAAACAGATCAATTCAATAAGACATCGACATTTAATATAGGAAGCATAACAACGTTGGAACAAAGAGCTTAAAAATTTTGCAAATAAAAGAAGTGGCAAACTCCATAATCTGTCAAGCAAGACAGGCCATGTGATCTGTACTCTTTTGAAAAGTAATAGACAGTATGGAGCCTGCCGGGAAACAGGGAAAGACCAATCTGAGTAAGATATATAAAAGATGCACGTGCATTTGAGAAATCATAAGCTGCTCAAAATGCAATCCTGCAACTCATAAACTAACCTTTTGGTTTTGGTTTTGGCTGTTGGAACAACCAATCCTCTTTTCTCCAGGCTTTTAAATCGATCCTTTACTAAGGTGCAGCAACCCTTTAATCAAAAACAGGAGGAGGAAAGATAATTTCCTTCAGTTTCCATCCAACCTTAAAGCAAATGAAAAATCTGATAAATAAACAGAGAACAACAGAAGAGAAAAATGAGATGACCTTTATTTTCCGGAGGGATCCAGTAATCTCTTCAGATAACGGTACTTGAATAGGGGCAGGCTCAAACCTGAAATACCGGTTGCAATTAGTTTTGCAGTGGTTGAGATTAATATTCTCAGATAAAAGTGGAAATAGAGACACAAATCAATTTAACAAGACACCTTAAACTTTCGAATTTTCTTGATTCCCAACTAAATAAAACGTTTCTTTAATGCCTTAACATCTCCAACTTGAGTGAGTCCCGAAAAAACAAAATAAAGAAAGTTCACTGATCTGTTTGCTCTCCCAACCAGCACTAGAATATAAAAATTTTAACATCAAGCCAAACATACTTGTGCCTTCCCAGGCGAGGTGGACGCGCCTTTAGTCTTTCTTGCTTAGCCACTATTCTCCGGATGTTTCTCTTATGCTTCTCCTCATCCTCTTTTGCTATTTCCTGAATGATATCTGGCAAACTGAAATCAAGAAGCCAAACAACAGTTAGATTATATCCTTATGGGAATCTATCTCACTTGAAAAGCACCTTTCTCAATATAAAAAAAAAACTGCTTTCCTACCTGTCAATTCCTTTAGAAAGTTTCTGTTTCTTCTTGACTTCTGCTTCTTTTTTCTCCTGCTCTTTACGCCTTGCTCTCTTATTCAACTCAACTCGTGTCACCCTCTTTGTTTGAGTGGGCCTGCACAGCGGTCATTAAGACAGAAAGAAGTCATGTGATTGAATATTGAGGACATTAGTAAAACCCACCCAATTTCTTGGTCTAAGGAAATTTAGAAAACAAAAGCAACAACAGGAGCCTCAATCAAAACTAGTTGGGTCAGGTATATGGATCCTTTCCCACCATTCAGCTCGATCATCCACACAAGAACAATTAGAGCAAAAGAAATCAAATAAATTCAACTACGTCTAGCATGATAATTCTATTAAAGAAATATTTTTTTTATTTACAATTATTTAATAATAATTGTACATAATCCTAGGCACCCCAATAATATAGATCCATGCCCTCATAATCTGTGCGGGCATGATGTGATATGTACATATATCATTCCAGCCATGGTCATATAAGGTTAAATTAAGCTGACCTTTGCTCTTGTGCAGAATCCTCATTCTCATTCAAGATCTCTTCATCGGTGTCATCACCATCACCATCATTCCCATTATCCGCATCAAGAAAGTACATCTGACAAATTGTGTATATTTTAAGAGAAGGCACACAAAATGCAAAAGTGCAACATGTTCACGCACAATGTTCACAGTGAACAATAAAAGCAAATAGAACACGAGATTCTTACATCTTCTTCATCAATTACTTGTCCAGGAACAGTTAAAGGGACAGGCTGAGGTCCCAGCTCATTTTGATAAACTTTCTGCATTTCTGTTGCAACAGCTTGAGCCAAAGAATCCTGGGTTGAATTCAAAGAAATACAGCATTTGAATTTGGAAGGTTCAACATAGGAAATACATCTGATCACTAATGCAGATCAAATTACCTGATGAGCTTCAAATGAAGGATTGAATGAGCATCCTGGAGGCTCAACTTCCACAGCTGGAATAACTGAAGGTTTGGATATCTGTCATCAATCAGATAACAGTAAGGCCTCATAAAAAGGAAAAATCCGGACAGTGCCAATATCAAATCGAGTACTGCTTATGTGTTTCTACATTTCTACGGAGCAAAATGGGATCCACTAGCATCAAATTCATAGAAAGACGCCCTTGTAAACAGTGAAGCAGCACAGTACATTCATTCCTTCTCAAATCATATGTCACAGGATATATGTGGCAGTGGCAAATCAACAGGCATGCATAAAAGCCAATCATACAGGAAGTTAAATCATAAAAAGCATTAGGTACCTTTCTAGCTATGGCATCGCATTCGCCTGCAACAGTGTCGGAAAGAACCAAACACAAAAAAACTCATTATTTGCAAATGCCAAACTGACAGAAAAACAGGAAGAAAAAGAAAAGCCAAACCAGGTCGTTACAAATCACCTTCTTTTTCCCATATATCAGCCATCTCTGAACCCAAAACAGCACCATCCTAGAGCAAAAAAAATACAAACACAATCAATCCCACACTATCCATAAGAGCATAAAATCATAACAACTCTATCCTCGCGCAATTGCTCACCTTGGAACCATCTTGAGTCGCATCTTTTGCTTCAGAATCTTTCTTATTCTTATTGTTTTTCTTGCATCTCTTCAGCGAAGATGAGGGCACCGCTTGAACAAAAGGGTTTTTCTGCAGCACACTGTCGCACCGAAGCACTTTCTCCCTGTGTTTCTCAATTTTCCGCTTCACAGAAAGATCTGTGAACGACAAAAGGCAGAGATTAGGGACAAAACAAGCAATCAATAATTAAACAGAACAATAACAGGATAGGAAAACGCCCTTTAATTAAAAGGAACGAAGAGATTGACGAACAAAAATACAGGCATGAAATCTTAGACTAGCTTAAACTAAAGCATAACAGCACAAGTTGGGATTTAATGGTGAAATTCAACAATCAAAATTGGAAACCGTTAAGCAATGAGTCTGGTTATCAAATCACGGAGAAGGATAAAAAGCGAACCTTTGGATTTGTCGACGAAGAAGAGGGAGTCGGTTTCGACATGTGCAAGAGAGCCGCCAGTAAGAGCGTCTTTTGTTGATTTCTCGAAGAAATTATCGATGTCTTCTGTGCTAATGTTCGCTCTCCATGCTTTCTTTCCTTTTCTTGAGGTTTTCGCTTTCTTCCCCATCTCTCTCTAACACCCTCTGTGCGTGGCCGTGCTTGTGTTTGTGCTTTGGCTTCCACCCGTCTTTGCTTGGGCAGATGAAAGGGAGGCGGATTTGCAAAATATCGACAGTGCCGTTTATATACCTAACCTGCTTGACACGACGTCGTTTCTCAGTGGACAGAACGACGACGTCCTTCCCGTGCTTCTTGTTCCTGGAAGAATGCTAATTCAACCCCTTCTTTTTCCTAATTAACTCCTTTTTTATTATTATTATTCCTTTTGATTTTTATCTAATTTATTTTTGTTGAGGGTTAATCTATTCTCACTTTGGTTTTCAACCTTCAAATTAAAATTTGTATTTCATTTGTTGTCAACTGGTTGAATCTTACAGCAGGTGATCTACACCTATGTAATTTAACCATATGATCTACCAATATAACGCATTTACGAAAAAAAAAAAAAAAAAATCTATCAAAATCGAATTGGAAAAATTAATGCTGTCAGGCTAGAAAAGAGTATAAGTCATTAATTACCACAGCAATATCTTCTTCTTTTTATCTTAATTTTAAAAATATTTTCAAATCAATTTTACATGCTGAAACTAAAATATTTTTCAGTTAGATTTTATAAAAATTGATGCATTTATAAAAAGAAATATATCACATGATTTACTTAATAATTTTCATTTGTTAGTTAAATCCCTGATTCCGGCACTCGTAGACAAGGCCCAAATACCGAATGTTGCTGAGGAAGGGCCTAAAACACTAACAATTAAAGCCTTCCTAAAGGCCCATACAACAACGAAGTACAGCCCACAGAAACTGTGACTTTCTGATGAATGACGATGATATTATGACATATATAGCTGGGTCCTCGATCCCAGCTACGAGTATTCAACCAGGTTATAGCTGGCCACGCTAATCTGATTTTGTTTTGATATACAAACATTTCCCTTTGATACCCCAGTTCTTTATACAAAAAATTATATTACTTCAGAAGATAGAAACTGCTGCATGGCTAACTGATCAGTAGCTTCCCATGGAGTTGTTTATGTGTCAATTAGGCTCACTTGCAGATAGTGTCATACTGTATTTGTGCTTGAGGTAAGCTCTGATGAAGGGATCCAATTCGCCATCCATTACAGAAGCAATATCTGATGTCTCATGTCCTGTCCGGACGTCTTTGACGAGTTTGTATGGATGGAATACATAGTTTCTTATCTGTTGGCCCCATTCTGCCTTCACTGCATCTCCCCTTATTTGCTTGATTTCAGATGCTCGTTGTTCTTCAGCTATGACCAATAGTTTCGCTTTTAACCGGCTTAGAGCCTTGATCTTGTTTGATAGCTGGGATCTCTCTTCTGCAAGGCAGCAAGGAAATGCCATCAGTTTTGGAATTGTACGCACTACAAAAGCAAGAAATTCTAGATGACAAAGAAGCCTGTCAGCACTGCAAAGTTCAAATGGAAAATTTGATACCCAAATGAAAGAGAAATTGCATTGCTAGAGTGTGGCATACAGATCAGCAGTCTAACTCTAACCAGTGAAAACGTGTAAAAACTTCTCTTCTCAATCAGTAACGAGGTCTATTGACCCTCCCTATCAAACCTTTACTTTACACACTACTGGGACGCTTCTCCGTGTGCTCCCGCTCCCCCTTCCCCAACCAAGTATCCTGTCTTCCCAGCTGATTTAGCACCTTAAGCTAGTGGGAGGTGATGATGTGTACACTGCATCTCACGGCTGAATATTTATGTTCACAACTTTGGATCTTTTTGAGCCTTTGCTTTTTTCTTAATAAACTAATTCCACTACTTCCCTTCAAGGTTACGACTTTTTAAGAGAGAACCAACAAAAGAATTTAGGGGCACAAACCATACCTGTGCAGCGAACGGCTACACCAGTGGGAATGTGAGTTATCCTGACAGCAGTTTCAAGCTTGTTTACATTCTGCCCTCCTTTCCCACCTGCCCTTGAAGTACTAATTTCCAGGTCCTCCTCAGGTAGTTCAACGTCCATCGACTCTTCAGGAAGTAGAGGCATGACTTCAACACCAGAAAAACTGGTCTGCACTTAAAACTGCATGTTAGAACATACACGTGGATCATTGAAAGAGAGGAAGAACCAAATTCCATTCGGAATCTTCTTATATCACTGACTTTTCTCAATCAATATGTCATCCTAAATTTCATTTTATCTCCTTGAACAGATCCTGAAATTTCAATTGCTAATCTTTCATCTGCTTCCAATGATGTCTGGAGTTACCAAAAAACTATTCAAGATTTGGTATAAATCATGGAAAGCATGCATAAAGCACAATACCATGACTGCAAGAGAAACTAATAGAACATTTTGATCGTGTTTTGAAAACCACGAGTACATGAAACTGCTTGTTAATCACATCGCCAGGGTATATTGATAATTCTTTCTACGATACATTAGTGGAACTCCAGAATATGAGAGAAACTCATTTTTTTAGGTCAATGCCATGTCTAAACGGCATGACTTCACACTTATGTTCAACTGATAACTAGATAACTTATGTCATGAGAAACATGACAAGTGGGAAAAAGGTGTGGTGATTCAAATTCAATTTTCATCTACATGCCATTTAATGAGTGGTTTTTCCCTTTAAAAGTAGGCAATGTAACTAATTGAAGGTAGAGTTGAGATGCAATCAGAAAATAGCCATCACCGCATCTAAGTCATGAACTTATAGGGTACGTTTGTTTTGCAGAAAGGAACACATTTTTCTAATGGAAATATTTTCATGCAAAATGAGTTATTTTCCATTATTCGAATGAATCAAGAAAAATATTTTCTAACAAAATAAACTATTTTTCATTTATGGTTTTTGAATGATGGTGATAAGACTTGAAAACTTGAACTTGCAATATTTGTGATAAAGATGGTGGTGGTGGTAATGATAGTCATAGAACGATGGGTGTTATAGGAGTGATGATAATTGCAATAATGGTGAAATTACGGTTACTTTAATAACAAAACAAAGTGGTTGGTGGTGGAGACGACAACAACAATGATGGTGGTGGTGGTTATTATTATATTGTTGTTAGAAGGTTATGGTGAGATGGTGATGAAATAATGATTACATTTATAATAAGATGATGGCTAGTGGCGATGTGGTTATGGCGACGGTGGTGATAGAGGGTTGTGGTGGGATGATTACAAAATGGTGTTTACAGTAGTAATAGGATGGTGGTTGCGGGGTTGGTGGTTGCCGGCAAATATCTTGAGTTGATGGTGCAAAGAAAAATATTCTACCCTCCTTGAGAAGGTTAAAATATTTTCCTTTGATAGGCACTATTCAAGAGTTCAATGGAAAGTATTTTCTGTTCTATTTCCCACTAAAAAATGGAGGAAAATATTTTCCATGCCCCCAAGTTCATCATTCTCTTGAAGAAAAAAAATTCGAAGTTACCTGACGAAGACCTTTGGAATTAAAAGGAGATTGCCGCACAATTCTGTGTGTTCCCTTCTCCCCAGACAGATAGCCATAAGCATAACGGCCTTCAACTTCAACTGTGGCTGATTTAATCCCAGCTTCCTCTCCTGGTGAGCTTTCAACCACCTTTGTCTTGTATCGTTGTTTCTCTCCCCATCTCACATACATCCTGAGAAGCATGTCAGCCCAGTCCTACACTGGAAATGATGAGAGAATTTTACACAAGAAAAAGCAATAATATGCATTGATGTTCAATAATCTTTAGAACCCAGCGCCTTCCTGGCACATCCCAGTTTCAAACCAGGGACACACCTCTTCTGATATTGGAGCTGTCACAGATAATAGCAATTTTGAAGAAGTAGATGAATTTGGACACCATTCAATCCAGCATAAAGAAAACAACAACATTTCAATCTGACTGATCTGAAGAGAGAAAACTCCATGTTTTACCATTGCCTTTTACATGCAATGACTCGTTACCTGTGCATCTGTACCGCCAGCACCAGCTGTGATGGATAGAACAGCACCTTCTTTATCATAAGGACCAGAAAGAAGTTGAGTCAACTCATACTTATCCAATGCCTTATTTAATTCTTTAATGATCCCAGTTGCCTCTTCTAGAAATCCAGCATCTGTGGAGTCCATCTCCTCTGTTAATTTAACTATAGTTTCAGCCTCTTCAACCTGCACCAATGAGATGTGCATATAACACCATATCCAGAAACATTTAAGGCCAAATCAACTTTTCAGTCATTGGCATGTCACTTTTTATTAAATTTCAACTGTATCTATATATAAAAAAGCATCTCATCTTAGAATCCAGATACAACAATCAGAACCCCCATTTTTCCCAAATATAATGCCACACTCTATAACATCATATAATATACATACAAGCATATCAATGACACTCAACTGAACCAACTAGTTGAAACGCTAGTTTTCAGAAAAAAGTTTGTAGCAAACTATTCTTCTTACTCATTCCCATCACCAGCACAATCTATTTTTAAATAGCTAGTATTCCCTCATTCATGTAGCTCTTCACACACAATCTAAACTCCAGTTTATTGGCCTGCATCAACTACAAAGATTACAAAATAACACGTAAACCCCGACGAGGCTCATTCTGTTGGTGACAAAACAACGACATAAGAAGTCTAGGAAAGTATTTATTTTCTCACAAATTATACATGCATTTCTCATATTTACTCGTCAAAATTATCAGCACCAGACCTTTTTAATCAAATTATTGAAACATATATTCATTAGATCAAATGTTAAATCATAATATATCTACAATCTACACATACTTGTAATGTTTTTCCCCTCAAAAGGGACTGCTAGTGAGTTACACATTTAGGGGACAGCTACTATTGAACAACTCAGTGCTTAGAGAACAACTTTTCAACACATTTGATTTTCCCCAACACAAATAGCCAAAGTCAATTATGTGAAAAGGTGCATTACTTGTTATTCTCGTGGGAAAATGTATTTCATATCTCACCAATGTTTACTTAATTAATGACCAATCTATATTCTTAACTGAGTGGCAATAATTGAAAAGCAACTGTGATGCTTTCCAAAAGAAAAGATTTGGACCTTGGTTTTGAATTCTGTAAGCAACTTTATCTTATCTTTCACATCGGTCAGGGCCAGCAG